CCTCTCGATAATCGACTTAATGCGAGAGAATGTTATTGGATCCTAAATCAAGCCGATTATACTTAATGTGGAAAATACATTTGTGACATTAATACAAAGAAAATTGAAAATTGAAACGCAAATGAGAATAGTTCCAACAGAGCCTGTGCTACGCACAAATGTCTGGTATTTACCTCAGTCTGTGTCACCAAAGTTTTGCAATTTGTACCTAAATTAGAAAATTAAAACTTTATTCGTTTCGACCAACTCATTGATGAATACGCATTATTTGAAAAATCTCGGTCTACACGTCTATGAATTTGAATACCTAGGTACGTACATTTCAAAGTAATAGGTGCCCCACTAGTATCAAGTAACTGAATGAGATGAGTAAGGTCAACAACTTTTAATTATACTTTTACTGATGCAAGTTAGCGTAAGAAGCCTTTGGTTCAAACTCTTTCCACTAAAACATTCATTTACTAATTAGTGGAGCGGGCGGCGGATAAAAACGTCCGTTGGCTGCCGGAAATAAATTGTTTTACAGATGAAACTGTGTATTTCGTTCTGACTCAAGTTTCCAGAAGAAATGTCAGTGTTTTAAATTCCGCCAGGGAGCAGTCGTACGTCTAAGTTTTTCAAGAAAATAATATTTTTACAAAAGCTTTCAGTATTTTTCTTTTTATTGTTTTCCCTGAGTACTATTTGGTACACAGTGACGTATGTTGTGTTACTTTGTTATTTTATGTAACTGATCAACATACACAATTGTTCCTTTTTATTTTGTTAGCTGATTTATATACGAGACAAGTTACAGTATCCTCACCCCAAGGTAGGGTCCACGCAGTGCCATTATGCACGAGATCTCGAGAATGGATGGTAACGTCACACCATGGCACAGTTCTCGTTTAGATGGCTGGCAATGGCGACACTCGACAGCAACAACGCGCCCCCCGGGGCATGTTTGACAAATAGAGATCTCGTGCACCGAATTTGGCTTGAAAAAAATTGTCGCGGAACGAGCTCACGAAACCTATATCTACAACCAGATGACATTGACCTCCCCTGCCCCTTCGAGCGCGTATCACAATAAGGAGAAACGGGCCGGAGAACGCGCGCTGACAGATCACGGAGTCCTGGCTGTGATACGTAGACTGCAATAAAGTAAATTGCGAGCATTTGCTATACGTATTTGGTACAACGAGGATCTTTATGGCGTCGATAATGTTATGGGCAGGTAATGCTCTGTTCCAATGTACAAATGGACGTTTCATTGTTTTACGATAGTCTTTTTTCTAGATAAAAACGTGTTTAAAGCGGACATAATCGTAAATACGGCGTGGCATTAGCAAATAGTGACAAATACTGAAATACACGTTTGTGATTTAAGTTTAAATTAATATTAAATGATAGTCTAATTGCAGTACAAAACTATCTAACATTATAAAGTTTTCCAAAGACAAAGTTTCAATTCGGAATGTTTTCTCCTCCAATAGTTAGTGAGGTGTGGAAGCTATCCATCTTGCAGCCACACACCAGGTACCTATCTATTAGAACTGCTAATTAATTGATCTATTTACTTTGTTTTACTAAATTCGAGGAAGGTCTTTTTTTTTTTTTTTTTTTTTTTTTTTTTTTTTTTTTTTTAAGGGTGGAAAATCATCGAATGACTGCCCCCGCCTGGGTGAGGCGGGAGGGAGTGTCAGACTCTTACTGACTAAAAACCACCCCGTTCCTTCTCCTGCACGTCGAGCCGGAGCCCCGGTTACCCGTTAGGTTCTCCGCGACTCCGAATCGGCATCGGCCCTATTGGGCCCCATCTGTGGTGGTCTGATGGCTCTTTGAGGCGCGCGCGGAACGCGACGCGCCGTACGCTCGGGTCTGTTTCTGGTCGGACGGGGAGCCACCCATGCTCGCCGTCCGCAGGCCCGCGCTTACGGTGGCCGGAGATCGTCCCGCGATCCCCGACGCCCGGTGTGTCCTTCGCGATGGCTGGGTTGCGAGGAGGCAGCGCTTCGCTGCCTCACGCGTCCCGCCTCCTCCTTAGCTAGCATGACTGCTTCGCAAAAGGAGGAGACGGCATCCCAATCCCCCTCGCTCCGCATCATGGCCTGCACTAGGCCCGGACGCGAGAGGTCGCCATCGCCGATCACTTCCCTGAGGACACGGCGGTGCTCAGCCCACGAAGGGCATTCTCCCACCGTGTGTTCCACCGTGTCCTCAGGGCGGTCCTCGCAGTGATGACACCCGGGCGTTTCCTCCCGCCCCATCAGACACAGGTACCTCCCGAAACTGCCATGTCCGGTGAGGACCTGCGTCAGGCGGTAGGTGAGGACGCCGTAGCGTCTCTCAAGCCACTCCTCAAAGAGGGGACTTACCGCTGCGATGGCAGCGAGCCCAGCCCTCGGTTGCGACAGTCGTTGCTGCCATTCCGCCATGAGATCGCGCCGGAGCTCATCCCGCCACGCACTTATCTGGCGCGGCAGCGGAGTTTCGCCCCGGCGACGTGCCTCCGCGCGCATGCTGTGCACGCGCGCGAGCACCTTCGCCTCCAGATCCCACGGCGGTAATCCGGCAAGGAGGTTCGCCGACTCCCCAGAGATCGTGCGGTATCCGCGGATCATTCGGATCGCCATGACCCTCTGTGCCATGAGCAGCGTCCGAGCGGGACGCCGCAACAGGTTAGGCGCCCAAACAGGGGCGCCGTAGAGGGCCATGGACCGCACGACCCCGGCGTATAACCTCCGGCAGGAGGCGTTTGGCCCCCCGAGGTTGGGGAGGATGCGTCGAGGAAGGTCTAAGTTTCTACGGATATTACCGATGTGTGATACTTTGACCGAGTAATTTGTAAATATGTTGTAAAATGAAATATACACCACGGTTACCATTTACCATCAGGCGGGCCGTGTGCCACCGTCTGACTTGCAGCTTCAAGTGGAAGTTAAAAAAGTCTGTGATTTAGCAATGTAGTGATATTACCTACGGTACCCCTTCAAGTTGCGTTTTCTGATAGTGAAATAATGCCTATCCAATGCTAAGGAACCAACCAACCAGTGGTATCCATGCTTACAAACATGCTTGTTATGTCTTCAACAGGAAATGTTATTCTTTTCTGTTTCATCCAAATTTCTTGTACAAATGACATAGTAAGTTCACATAGGCACTTCAATTTAGTATCACAGTACGTACGTGTATGTATGTGTGTCGGTCAGTGAACCGCAGCACAGTTCCGCCAGCCAACTAGCAGACACTCGTGTTCCTGAAGTTATCTTCTAAAAAGTTTTGGCACGAGTGTATCCACTGCCAAATCACTGACTCATTTAATTATGTAACTGCACACGATCTCTGCAACGTTTATTTTTCACGTCTGACGTTCTACTTTTAGGAGAATCGAGATTTCTCCGAGTTTCTTTAGAGAACGCTGATATAAAATTTTATCGTGCATTGATAGGTGCTAGTGGAGCGATGTCGTGAGCTGAACAAAGCGCAGGTAGGAAAGTTGGAGTTTGTATAGACCGAGTGAGGCCAATCGAGCTTTATTTTAGTTTGCTCTTCTGGGATAAGCTGTGTGTACACTCCGCAGTGCACGATAGCAGCGCCGGGGGAACTGAATACAGATGAATTTAATATAACTTGTCTAACCGAACCATACATTTATGTACTACTGGCATTTTTCATGCAATCCCCTCGTGACCTAGTGATGGTGATCTCGGCTTTTTATACCGGAAACTAACAACGTTTCCCATACATAGTACTGCTACAGTTGTTTATTTTACTATTGTGGAACATATTTATTACAGTTACGTTATATTAACGTCAAATTAAAACTTCGTTTACTACCAATTTTTTTCAGAACGTCAGAAACACAGAAAAAACCTAGTGTAGGTTGCCCCACACTTGGATTTTTCCTGTGTCGTGGGTGTGTTGCTGCAGTCAGTTACCCAGTCACCGTGCTAGGCGTGCAGTCAGAGTTAATGAAACCATAATATTATGACAGCATTACATAGAATATATTGATGCAGTGAGAAATGCTGTACTAAGACTTTTTCATGATTGCTTAGACAAACATTTCTCTATACATATATTGAGTTAACTGAGTATGTATCAAGGAATGTCATCAATTACCTCTAATTAGTGCCAAGTCGCCCACAACCAGTCTACGGTTACTGCTCACCCACTGTACTGTAGTGTCTACTATGTGTACACAAGGCAAAAGGAGCTGCATGCACTCAGTAGCATTAAGTAAAGGTCTGAAGCTTTTATTTTGTTTTAAACTGGTTTCAATGTTATATTGATAATGATCATATTATTATTTGTTTAACTCAAAAATACATAGAAGTCACATACATCACGCCTTTTTTTTAAGGGGGAAAATCATCGAATGACTGCCCCCGCCTGGGTGAGGCGGGAGGGAGTGTCAGACTCTTACTGACTAAAAACCACCCCGTTCCTTCTCCTGCATGTCGAGCCGGAGCCCCGTTTACCCGTTAGGTTCTCCGCGACTTCGAATCGGCATCAGCCCTGTGGGGCTTCATCCGTGATGGTCTGATGGCTATGTGAAGCGTCCGCGGAATGCGATGCGCCGTACGCTCGGGTCTATTTCTGGTCGGACGGGGAGCCACCAAAGCTCGCCGTGCGCAGGCCCGCGCTTACGGTGGCCGGAGATCGTTCCGCGATCCCCGACGCCCGGAGTGTCCTTCGCGATGGCTGGGTTGCGATGAGGCAGCGCTTCGCTGCCTCACATGTCCCGCCTCCTCCTTAGCTAGCATGACTGCTTCGCAAAAGGAGGAAACGGCATCCCAGTCCCATGCCTTCTTATTTTCTAAAGTTTTAGGTAGACCATATACAGAGTAACATCCAGTTTTTATTCTTTGTGGCACTAGTCTCATATACGTAATAGTGAATAGCTCTGCAACCCGACACCATTCTAGATTCCGTACTATTTATTAGTAAGAATGTCCCAAAAATCTTACTTGTTACTTTAAATATATTAAAAGTAACGGTTGATTGTTACAGGATCCCCTCGAGCCAGTGATGTGACTGCCAGGACCGCACAATGAGGATGAAGGTGAAATGAGCGGCCAGGCGGGGCTGTAGCGGGCTGGGCTGTACCGGCGACCATGAGGCCAACATGAGCGCCCGCGTTACCATGACAACCAAGATGTTACTCTCGCTGCTGCTGCACTGCTTTTGTGTTGCTACTACCGCGTCAATACCTAGTGGAGGTAAGTCCTTAAAGTACCTAATTGCTTCAATTATCTGATTATTAACTTTCGTGTCTTTTAACAAAGTCGAATTTACGTGTTTATGTAATCTCATTATATATTTTGGGCTTTTAAAAAATCTTTATCTACAACTGTTAAGTTGAACATGAGCAACATTTAATATTACCTACTGTGTATGTGATTGTGTATAATATGTTCTTCATAAATGTGTCGACCTACCTCGTTACGGTAAGTATTATCTCTATTTTATCATTTAAATTCTATTATAAAGCTATATTTTTATCTTAAACCGTAATTCACGAAAATATTAAATATAATTTCACTTATATTTCGAGACAAAGCAACAAAAATGATAACTCTGAGCCCTCGTGCAATAAATATTAAAAAGTTGTCAAAGTTTTGAACAGAAATAGCTGCAACTTGAGCAGATAAAGAAACTATATTCGCTGAGAATTTCACTAAAATATTCCCTTAAACCGGCCATAACTTATTCTATTCGGGAAATAAAACAAAGACCCCACTATCCAGAATGGAAATATCTCAAAAAACACGTTCTATTGCGCGTTCTGAATGAGATGGAAAAAAGTGGATTCGTAGTGGAGCAGAGGTTTAACATAAAATGCTAGTAAACGCGAGTATGTTACTGTCTACTACCTCCATATAGAGGAGGGTGCGAGGTCGCGGGTTATACTGCACTTATGTATGAAATAACAATACTTCTACTTTGAGAATCTTGAAACAAAGTTAATATAGAAACGTTGACTTACGTTTTTATTTACCTACGTCGGGAATTTACAAAATTTTGTTCTGCATAATCGGCAATGTTTTTACTGTGGTTTTATTAGAATGATTAATAAAAATTTATTTAAAAAATAATTCGTAGAAAAGAGATATAGAAAATATTGAAAGAAAATAGTAGTTAGAATTGGTATATCGAAATAAAAACAGGTTACGTTTCGTGGAATGTTTGAATCACATTGGTAACAAATCATGTGCGATATATATCAATCATAAATGATGAGCAGGAGGAGCAAAAAATATTCCTTGACAGGGAGCAATATCAATCGAAGCGGATCAATCCCGACATTGGAGTGTCCCGCGGAATCCCGCACGAGTGAATGAATACGAGCTAGATACCGTTCGTTCTTCATTCGACGCCAATCGAATGGAATGAATCGTGTAAAACCTGTTCACAGTGATTTTTATTGAGAATATGGTAAGTGTGCGAAGTACAGCGATTTCGGGTTGCAGAAAACATTTTTTATTGGAAACTGCGGAATTGGAAACAAAGGAAATAAAATGGAAGTCTGTGTGTGCACCGATACAAAACGAACGTATTTATTGTCACGCGATGCCTCGTACACTACAGTTATGGACTTGCAACATTTATCCGCGAGTAAAACTTTTTAATTAATGTTCGGATCACAATATTGAATGTTACTCATATTTTTCCAATGAATCCTTCATACGTAGTAGAGTTTAAAGCAATCGTAATCCGAAGCGTTAAAGTAAGCCGATATTCAATTTGCTCCTGTTCCTACGTAATGTATGAGTAACTACAAAACGGGATATTTTTTAAATGACGTCGGCACCGTGTTCCGAGGAAGTAAGCAGTACTTTCATAGAACAATAACGCAACATTTCCGTAAAGGTAACACGATATATTGCGCGGAGATTAGAAACAGCGAAATAAAATACTTAACGGAATTAGAATAATAAGGAAAAGTCGCGCATACATTCGCGGCCGGGTACCAGGGTATCAGATTCAAGTAAATCGTGAACAATGTTTGTTTCTACGTACATCGTACAATGTACGTAACCGTATTACATAATAATATGTTCGTGTGTATGTGTGTACGTATACAGGTGACTGAACACGTTACAACATTGTAATGTACACAATATCTAACAACGTAGTAGATATTCGTTAAATACTAATTACACTTATTAACATGTTTAGAATGTGTGTAATTTTAATTGAAATATCATAATTTTTTTCTAATAATTATGTATTATGTTAAGGAACAAGCACGTCATTCATTCTCAACAAATTGCCCTGACGGGGGAGTTGGAGACAAACATATAAAGTATAATGCTGTTAAGGGTGATTTCATACTGTTCGTTAGATTCGCTTTCAAATTTTTTGTTATTAAAAGTTTAAATGCAAGATTTTCTTAGACTTTTAGTTCTTAGTAGTTATTATTACCTTATTTGATAGTTATTACACTGAAAGTTATCAAATGATTCAACTGAAAAATGTAGTTTTAAAATTCTATCACCTTTTATGCGGGATTCTGTACATTCTCTAAGGAACAAAATAACCGCATAGTTGAATATTTTTACGAGCAAAATTGTACGAGTGTTTTAAGTATATTTCTAGAACGTTCCTAAGTTTAGTACTCAAGTAAAGCGAATGTTATTTCGACTTAACAACTTGGAGAGATTCTACGCAGATAATCATGTTACTACTATCTATGTAAGTGTCAGCCAAGATTGCTCGGGTTCAATCTGTAGTCATCTAGTTCACGAGACATAATGGATATGTTATTCTAAAGTTATTAAATAGAATACACACCGCAATAATAACATTTACAATGATTCTTCACTTCACTAACGATATTTGCCAGCAATTGTTTCTAGGTTCTCTTAATACAACGTGAAATCAAATAATAATATATTACATCTGAAGACATGGTACAAATATAAAAGTATTTTCTAGAGGGAATGAAATGGACGATTGAACGAATACTAGAGTGGTTGCGGGTCACAGTACATCACGCAGGTAAACAACCTATGAATATCGGTGGAACAAAATGTAAAGAAAATCTTATCAATATTAGCTTTTTTGCTTCAAAATTATTTGAACTGAACTTTGACTTTAAGTGAAGATATTTTTCAAGCTATATAATATATGAAATAATGAAACCAGAGTGCTTGATTTTCAGGGTCATTATCTGTCATTACATTCTTAATTTAATTGCAAAACTGTAAGGTCTTAAATCTATGACAAGACCAACACCCCATGTATTTCGATGTGCTTGTGTATTCCACATTACATTATATTCACAAAGAGAAGGCGTTAAAGGTAAATCTGGAGATGTGTTTGTTAGTGTATCACACGTGAGCGAATATTACTACAATACAGATTCAGCAACACAGACTCTAAGTCTAAACTATGACGACTAGTATAAAGACTTGTATTCGAATCAAGTCACGAACTCCACAGACACAGCTATGAATAAAAATTGCAAAATCGTTATGATATTAAAAACTTGATTGAAAATGGATTAGCCTTCCTCAATATGCTACAACAACTTTACTTTGATACGAAACAATTAAGTTAAAGCAGAGTCTTTGTTTAAAAAAATCTTAATTCAGGAGCGCGATACTGTAGCGCTGTTGAATAAACTGTTGAGAATATACAAACATTTTAGTTGAGAGTTTTTAGTATTCATTTACGTCGTAAATCGTCGTCGGGATAAAAAAACACAAGATAATATCGTTGAAGTGAGCTGCTTAGAGGAGGGTCAGTTCGAGATCAAAGAGTGTCCTGTACACGTCGGAACCTTTGAGTCCATCTCGCGCGCGCCCCGCGCCCCGCGCCCCGCGCCCCGCCCCTGCGCCCCCGTGTGTGCAGCTATCAGTCTATTTATAAAATACTCAGCGAAGGGATCTGAGGAAATTGTTTTCCCTAAATCATTGGATTCTTTTCAGGAAAATAAAAAACGTTTCTGAATTAATTTGTTAAGTACTTTCTGCTGTAATGGGATTCAAACGAGGAAAAATAAAGATTTTAGTTCAGGTACAAGTACTTATACATTCAACTACCTCGTGTAGACCATTAACTCACGCCAGTATAAAATAAATAATAAATTGTAATAACTGACAGATTGTGTTTTGTTTATACATGTATTTGAAATCATAACTCGCGGCGATAATCGATCAACATTGTTCGATAATTTTACAACCAAATACTTGATCAACAAATGTCGTTGTGTAACTGAAACATTGATCTTTCAACATTTTAATTAACTCTTAAATGTTATAAATTAATGAAACGAATAATTATTGGAAACGAAATTACGCACGCGAATGAAATGGTACGCTTCTACCAACATCCAAAAGGTGAAAAATAATTAACAAATTGATGTTTCATAGTTGAATTCAGTTGATATTAAAGTGTTTTCATTTTAATTATCGAATGGCGTTCTTTGAAAGTCAAACAGTCTGGAAAAGTTAATAAGAATTCGAAATTACTGCGGGTCAATGACCTGCTTTACGACAATGACTCCGGTGGTTATAAGTTGATAAACACCACGAGATTAATTTAATATACTTACAATTTCAGCTAGAAATCTGATGAATAAGTTACATTATTCGAATTATTACTCAGTCATTTCATTTTTAAATTCAAACTTCTTTGAAATTTTACAAGTTTGACACTTACTTCAATTTACTTTAAATCTTGCTGGGAATCAAATCACATATTCATTGTGCACCATTATTTTATTGTAATCCCGGGCCAGTTGTGCGTGATATTCTATAAGTTTCTACACAAAACTTGTTCTGACAACAACAAACAAATTCAAAAGAAGTGTACCTCTATAAAGATTATTTAGAGAAGATAGTTTACTTACTGTTACTTACATAGAGATAAACAGATTTTCTTACATTACTTTCGTAATAAAAGTATTCAATAATGACGTACAGAGAAGCACAAGTCAGCTGGAATACAATAAACGCGTCGAAGGGCAGTGCTAGTACCGTGTACATGCTGTGGCCGCCGGGCGGTACACGGTAACATAGGTCCGTGTCACGCTCCATTAGTCCCCTGTAGGCTGTACTGTGATGACTCACTGAGCTTCAGCCTCTTTGTCTACTCTATCGAGCCTTTTGGTCTATTGTCTAGCCAAAATTATCTCTTGTTCATTAAAACCTCCCATGAATGCCTATATATACAATAGTAGAAGTCATTCATAGTTGTCTAGCTTTCTACAATT